AAAAAAAAAAAAACGGGTAAAACATAAAATTGAATGCAATCAGAAATTCAAAGAAAAAAAGAAAAAAAAATTTTATATATACTAGGCAATATATTGATTTTTTCGAATTAAAATTAAATATTTTGATTATTATTATTATGCACTTTTAAGAATTTGTACTTATTACACGTGGGTTCAAAAAAAAAAAGTTAATCGATCTTTTATTAATTTATATTGTGTATCAATTAAATTCATTTATATTCGGCGATATTCGCTGCGGATCAAAAGAAATTATTAGTTATCATGTGGATTTCGATATGATTTTTTTGATCGGCACAAATATGACACAAGCCATTTAGGTATTTGAACGAAAAAAAAAATAAAAATTATGTAAATGACAAGTAAAGAATTTCACGTGATGAAACCATCATGTGGTAGGACAATTCCCCGGTAGAATTTTAACATTTCCGTTCTGTCCCATTCAATCATAAAGTTCGGACCTCGGACCATTCCATGCAAGGATGTGCCTGAAAGATGAAATTGGGCAGCTATGATCAAAAAAAGGAAATTCATACGAAAAAATTTTACAATTTCAAAAACCTTACAATTTCAAAAAGAATCATAAGGTATGACGGAAATACACCGGTTATTCCGTCAAAAATTTATCCTCGTTTAAATTTGTAATTGTAATAATAGAGATTGTGAAGATCCCGAATACTCATAATATAACAACAATGCATAATCTAAGAATAAAATTGGAATTTTTCAATAAATGATAATAATTTCTATTTATTTTTACTCTTTTTGAAAAAAAAAAGAAAAAAAAAAAAATTTTTTTTAAAAAAAATAATTTTTAATTAATCCATTTTTAGAAAAATTTTTTTTTTTTTATAAACAAGTATGCAAGCAAGAGTACAAAACTTTAATGATGTTCTTCTTTAATCCTTTATTATATAGTTAAAGTAATTAATTTACCAAAAAAAAAAAATTATTAAAATTTATTCAAAAAAAAAAAAAGATTGCGAATTACAGTCAGTAATCTTAAGATATATCAAACTAATAATTTTTCTTCTTTACACTGCATTTTGCAGATAATGTGAAAATATAAATTGAACAATTTCATGTGTTCAATATTTCTTATTTTGTTTATGCATACATGCGCATAATTAACACATAAATAATTAGGATGAATCTTTCTCGCAGAAATTCACTGCTCCTAATTTATATATGCATTGACATTTTTCTTTTTGTGTTCCATCCTAGAATTAATTCGAAAAGAAAAAACTTAAAATATATAAATAGAATATATTTATCTATCCATCTATCTATCATCTACGCATATAATTAAACAAAGAAAACCTTATGCATTTAATTTTAAAAATTTAATTAATGAAATCCTTTGTTTTAAAAAAAAATTTTTTTTTAAAATTTATAGATGTTAGGAAAAAAAACATGGCTTCACAACATTTTTTTGTCGATCCAAACGACCAATAATGGGTTTTTCCGGATTTCGTCATAAAAGATAATTAAAACCTAATTAACCTAATTAATTCTAATTAACTTAATTAAAATGTATATTAAAATTAGAAACAAACAAGAGAAACAAACAATTTTTTTTAAGGGGAAGGAACATAAAATCTTTAATCATAAAAAACAAAAAAAAAAAATATAAAAAAAAAATAAAAATAAAAATAAAAAATTTTAAATATCCGTTTAACTCCGATTTTTCCGATTTAAGCTGTTAAACGTAAAACAAAAAACCAACAAAAATAGTCTCACCTCCTGCAACGGAATATTTTGATTAAAATCTTCGATTCTTTTTTTTAATAAGATTTATAAGATTTTTATAAGATATGTTATTTTATGTTACAATAAATACAATAAATACAATAAATACAATAAATACAATAAATAAATATTTAATTGTTTCCTGCACGTAATTTAAAGGATTGAAAAAAAATCATTTTATCGTAAAATATATTCTTAAAATGCAGGGAGAATTTCCAAATTAAACCGAATTTATGTTGGATTTTTCATTATCAAAAAAAAAAAAGATTTTTTTAATGTGAAAAAAAAAAGAAAGAATCTTAAAATTGTAACAAATAGAGGCGTACGTAAATATTTATTACATGGATTATTTTGAATAATTTAAATAATTGGTCTTTTTTCGATTTTTTTTTTTCATGCAATGAAAAATAAAATAAAATAAAAACAATACAAAGTTTTTCCAATTTTTCCCAGACTGTTTTAAAAAAAAAAAAAAAAGAATTTTTTTAATTTAAAATAAATAAATAAATAAATAAAATAAATATTATACTGTTATATATAAATAACGATAATTGAACACTGCAGATTGAATATGAAAATTAAATTATTAATGTACTTTAAACCGATTAAATTGACCAAATTAATTATTAATATTTTTGTCATTACTCTTTTTGGGAAGGTTTTGTTATTAAATGATTGGGTAAATATTTTTTAAGGTTATAGAACTATAAATTTAACAAAGAACGTAGTTTTAACAGCTAATTCGAGGAAAACTAATGAATGAATGAATAAATGGAAAGTTATTGATTTTAACTTATAATAATAATATTATATCATAAATTCCCAAAAGAAAAATCCCTGGACAATAACTTTATAAACCTTCAATGACGAACCAACCAAAATCCTTTTTTCTTTTCTCCCAAAAAGATTTAACAATTTTGGGTACATCTATTTATTATGCCGAATATAAACAATCAATTCAATGTACATGATAGGATTTACATTTAACCTTAATAACCTCCAATCCTACATGCGGTCAATACGCCATTTATCTTAGAAGAGTATATTATATTTATTATATATCTTTTCTTTTTAAGAAACTTTATTTGTTAATGAAAAAAATCTCTTTTTTTATTATTATTTGTTTTTGTACTATTGTTTTTATCCTTGTTTATCTGATATAATAGTAATAAAAAACCTTATTTATATCGATTTTATTGGCTGTCAATGTGTAATATTACAATCATTAGAAAAATACATTTATAATAATTAGAAACTTGGAGATTTTGAGATAAAGATACCTTACATGGGTAGATTACTATAAATAGGATGCAAAAGTTGAATGTAAATTAAGCACATAAGCATTAGGATTTGAAAAAAATTACTTTTAGTAGGAGGATTACTTTAGCAACTTGGAGATTTTGTGCAAAAGTGGTCAATAAAAAGCGTTACATTTACTTTGGTAACTTGGAGATTTTGTGTAAAAGTGGTCAATAAAAACGTTGTATGTAAATTAAACATTATAATTAAAATACGTTACATAAGACATAAGAAGTACGTAAGTACTGTACGTAAGTTTTAAGAATATTTAAATTAACCAATAACCTGGTATTAATATATATTAATATGGGTGGTTGATCTGCGCGCCTTAATACTTCACATGGTAAATTGGCCATAGCTCATACACTTAAATAACTTTAAATAAATATTTGTAACCATATAATCGAATATTTATTGTATACATAAAAAAAAACCAGTTTTTTTTTTTTTTAAAAAAAAAAAAGTATAATAAAAAACTATATTTTTT